GAAATGACTGAGAAACTGTGTTCACCATTGTGTTTTGTTTTGAGGTTTTTTTCCTGTGATGACTGTAGTCTGTAAATCCTGTTAAAAATCTGCACTCTGTCTGGCTTCCTGTAAAGTCTGGTTTCTCAGAAATGCATCTTTTTTTGGGCAACAGCTCAACCCTACTAAGGGCTGCTTGGTGCTTGCTCATTATCTGTTCTCTTGGTAAAATGTGGTAGTGCTTTGGTTTATAAATCCTTGATGCTTCCATCTTCCTGTCAGCAAAGCATAGTGGTGCAGCTTGGCTGACATGGGTTGGCCCCCTTGCTTGAAGAGATGTGATTCAGCTCTGGGTGAGGAAGTTGGTGTGCTGACAGTGTACCTCTGGCAGACCATGCTGCCATAACTAAGCACTGACTAATACACAGTATGATGGAGCCAGTTGTGCTCAGCTGAAATCATATCCCATGGAGCTGGGACCTAGGGAAAGGACTCTCTCTGTAGCATGGATCCATCCTGCTTATAAAATGCTCTTGCTCACGTGCCTCATGGTTTCCTGCACAGGATGTCGATTTCTTGGCTGTTTTGAATGTTGACCATCTTTAAGAATGGACTGAAATGAAGTTCAGATAGCTCACTGGACTCATGTCTTACTGAATTTTGTAGGGCTGGTGAAACTGCTTGGACATTTAGAGTTATTTTGTAGGGATAAGGCTGTCACATGATGTCTCTCATTATCTTTTGTTGTTCCATGATTTCTAGAGAATTTGCGTTGTAGTCCCTGTTGTTTGCATCTTCAGGATTAAGTTATTTGTCTGGCACATTTTGGAGCTGATTTTGAAAGCCCTAGGCAGGCACAGGAGTCAGGGCCAGCTGGAACAGAGCACATAGGAGGGGCCCTACCAAACTGTCAGTGCCTTGGAAGACAAAAGCTCTCTAGTGCCAGATCTCTCAAATTTATTATGTTTAATGTAGCTGTGGCCTCAGCTGGAAAAATCTGTTGCCTTCATGACATCTGTGTGAAAAGAAACACACAGCATGCATCTCTTTTCTTGCACAATGCCTTTGCATCTATGATAAGGTAGATTGTATTCAAGCAAGAAGATTAGTTTCTGGTCATAACTCCTGTCTGTTTGTATCTTTATGCCTCTTAAAAACTGTTACCTCCAACACTCCCTGCTACCATTGTAGAGGGTCTGATTCTCACTTACCTGCTTTACCATAAATAACTAAAAGCGTGCCAAGTTCATTCCAGGGAAGAGACCAGTAAGATAAAACAAGATTCTATAGCTCCTTTGCGGTGGCATGACTGGAATACCATGTGTGTGTGTAATTTCCCATCACATGGTATGTGTGTGAGCAGTTCATGGAGGTGGCTGCTTGCATGACCTGATATGGTAAGGAGTGCTGACCTCTTGGTAACATAGTAAGCTTTCAAAATCATGGTGGGGAGAATTGGAGACAGGTAGCCCTGCAATACCTCCTCCAGAGGTTGTACAGAGTTCTAAGTAGAAATTCTTGGTAATCATTGAGTGAGCCAGTCAAGTCTGTGAGCTCAGTGATTCATATCTTCAAGGTTAGAGATTAGACAGTCCTCATGGATGGCTTAAGCATGGGACTCGTTTTATTTGGCCAGTCCCTATGTCTTTTGAACAATACAAACATGCCTGTATATACATTATTTTAAAATATTATTATGAGGACTCTTGGTGTTGACCCTTGTATTTAGATGGCCTAGCATTTCTCTTACAAAAATTGTGACCTTTCACTAAGGAGCTCTTAAAACTTCGATTGTTTGCAATAGACTGTTGACATTTGGTAGGTGAAGCACCATCAGGGAACAAAGTGCCTTTTTTTGTTCCACTAAATTAGATTCAGCTTTGAAGGAGTTATAAACTGTTAAAATGAACTAGTCCTTTTTTTTCTGCTTTCATTCTTTAGGAAAATTCTGGCATGCTACCAAAAAAAGTGCCTTCTAGTGCTGGGACCTGCTGTAACCATTGCAGCAGTGGGGACAAGAGATCTCGTGTTAGGAGCTGTGACAATGGCTGCAGCAGGGCTTTGAAGAGCCCAGCACATGTCCTTCTGCCTCCCAGCTCTGCTTTCCTTCAGGGAATTTTGGGGAGCAGGAAACCCCTCCCCAGTCAGCCCCCATTGTCTCTGCTCTCCACTCCCAGGGAAATCCTTCCCCTTGCCTCTTCAAACACGCACAAGTCCCGGGTGGAAAACAGACTGGGGCAGTTTGCATGGTGGATGTAGCCCATTGCAGTAGATGTCAAGCCTGTGTTTGCTGTGACTGCAGGCTCTTAATTCTGTCATGTAGGAAACGCTGTACCTCCACCATCTCCTGGGCAGGGAGGGCCATGCCCCCTCTTGTGCAGCTCGCTCAGACCTCTCACCTTCATTGTCACTGCCGGCGTTCGGCCAGCACGAGGAGTTAAAGGCCCAGCACAGGGTTCCTGTTGGGTGGGAGCATGAGGAGTTAAAGGCCCAGCACAGGGTTCCTGTTGGGTGGGAGCCCTGCATGGGGAGCTCATCCCAGCAGGGCTGGCAGGCACCGCTGGCAGCAGTGCCCCAGGATCCAGCCCAGCCGGCTGTGCAGAGAGGGGAGGATGGCACAGCCTAATTGTGCACCAGGAGCTGCACAGTTCGTTCTCTTTCAAGATGATTCTAATAAGGTAGAAAATGGTGATTTTTTGATGGCTTTTAAGATTTTGAAAATAATTTTGGCATTTGCATTTATTGAGAGCCTGGCTGTTTCAGTGTGTGTGGCAATGCTAGGCAGCTGAGCTGATCTGGCAGGGGACAGATCCTGCTCTTGGGCAGGGTGTGCTGCTTTCCGCTCCCTTTTACTTCTTTGAGCTGTAATGCTCACTGACCCTTCAAGCCACTTCAGCTCAGTAAATTGTCAAAATCTTTGTACGTGTTCCTTTTCTTGGGCTGGGTTTTTGCAACGTTGCTGAGCTGTATCAGCTTATATGCAGGTGAGAATGAAAACTGAGGCCAGCTCTGGAAGGCTGGTGAGACCAGACAAGGAAGGACAAAGGAGCAGGGACAGCCCTTCAGCAGCCACAAGCTGCTGAATTGGTTCAGCCCCAGTCATGTAACGATGCTGAGATAGTCTACCAAGAAAGCAATCATGACAATCATGACTGATTCCTTTCATGGCAGTACCAAAGCTGTATGCAACAAAGACAACAAAAAGCAATCAACAGTTAATCTCCTTTATTGACAAGCCCACACCAAGTGTGGGATAGAAATAGAAAACGTATTTTAGCTGTGATTGGCAGAGAAGCAGTCAAAAAGAGGAACCCGCATGGATCAAGCCTAAGTTGTTGAGATGTTGAGGTTTCAAGGAAGATGCATGTTTACATTAGCATTATTCAAACTTGTGTAACGTAGGATGTTGTGAATTCAATTGTTCTTGGGATGAATAGTGGATCAAGTATTGTGCTTAAACAATAGAACAGTAAAAACAACATCTGTGAACCAAGATCTCCTTTTTCAAAATGGAGAAGACAAGCAGACAGAAACTATAGCTAAAACTGTTGGAAGTGTTTTGTTTGCTTGCAGACAGTTGTGGAATACTTGTTCAAGGGACTCAGCAACTTTTTGTTGCTTAACATATTCAGAGCCTCTCCTCAGCCACCGTGGCTCTCTGCTGTAAATGTTCCAGGTTTTCAACTCCGGCCACAAGTCTTTTGAGAGGGGCACCAGCAGAATGAGTATTATACTCATTTGATTCTGAATGCAACTGTTAAATTAAAAAAAGAGGCAAATGCTATTTTAAGAATGCTGGGCAAAGGGGAGAGTGTCCCAGTGCCTAGACCCTGTGTTCACCATCTTTTTTAACTGTGAAACCATTCTTTATTTTCTTGTTGATCCTTCCTTCATTTGCTATCAAACTTAAATCAAAACCATGTTGATGGAAGCTTTCCTAAATAATGGAATAGGAAAAACTGATCTAGCATTTGTCTGAGTACAGTATGTATGTGTCTCTAAAATGAAGACTATTCCATATACACACTCCTAAAAATGACATCTAGATCTGTCTTTCTAGACAGCAGACATCCAGTTTGGAAGTAGAGCATTGACACTCCTGGAGGACAGAGCACCGTGAGCCTCTGTTGAAGTGGTGATACTTTCACTTCTAGGCTACTGTTCTGAGTCTGGCTGCTTCACTAAAATATTTTAATAAGTTCCTAGCAAGGTGAAAGATGTAATCCATACATGGTTCCACAGAAGTGGTAGATTTCCTTCTGTACTAAATAGGGAGCTCTTTGGAACCTTTTCAGTGCAGAGCTCTCCTTGGCGTCTCCAGGCTGAGGCAGAGGTCAGAATTCTATTACATGTGATAAGCTTGCATAGGTTGTTGACCACCTACTATATGTCACAGGTTTAAGTTGAATGATCTTTTTCTGAAAAATAAACTGTTGGGAATTTTCCATTTTCATGGTTTCTGAATCTGCCATAAATTCTTTTGAAGACTTGGAGTTTTGGAAAACAAAGGGAAGGAAAGAAGCTTTAGTATTTGAATTCCCTGAGGCTGGGAGTCTTATGTTACTATTCCCTCCAGGGAAACATCACTTTTAAGTTTCTCTTTGTGATAGCCACTTCAGGAGGAAGCTGAAATGTTGGATTAAATGTGAGAAATGTTGTTGGATATCTGAGATGAAATCATAGAACCATGTCTTAGGTGAAATAGTAGAATGAGGAAAGAAGAATTGTTTAGATTAATGGGGGAAAGATGAGCTTCCTCAAATCCCTAAAACTCTTCTGGAGATTGTTTTTCTTCCTTTAGACTTTTGTGAGAAAACCTGGAGTTTGTGACCATGATGATCTGCATGTCTCAACCCAGGAGAACTGGGTCATGTCACTGGAATTTTATGCCTTTGCCCGTATGCTAGAAATGGAAATATTCTCACCTACCTTCTTGCACTAAGCCAGCCCTTGCAAAAGGTAGGAAAAATGTACCGCCAAAAATAAATGTTTTTTTTTTCTTTTCCCTTGTCTCTCTGCAGCAATTTGGCAAAATCCTTGATGTAGAGATAATCTTTAATGAGCGTGGCTCGAAGGTAAGTCCTGTTTCTGTACCCGCTTCTCTTGTTTTGATTGCAGAGTAAAAGGCAGTTCATTGCCTAGAGAACATATTCTGTAGAGATCAGCAGGAATTAGAGTGATGGGGGAAGGGAAAAGCTATTTTAGGGACTGTCTCCTGTTTCCTCTGACTTGAGACTCTGAGCATGGTTGTTTCTGGGCAGCATGTACAAGTGCTCAGAGATGCTCCTGTCTGTGGGATCAGGTTCTCCAGCCTTTTGAACAAACAGGGTCTCAGTCAGCTGAGCCTTCATACCACCACGTTTCCATTGCATTGGCAATGGCTGCCCTGTGAGGAAGGCAGAATAAGGTAAAACAGCTTTGTGTGATGGGAGGCTGTAAAAACAAAAGATAAACTCACTCCCATCCCTGCCATTTTCATTGCATTAAAATACTTCTGTGGAAAAACTGTCATATCTCATATGTGAAAGGATTTTATATACTCTGTTTTGCAGACTTACTTGGCACTTCTGAGATACTGACCTTTCATGTTTGAGATATTTGGTGCTTTAATATAAGCATCCTCATTCCACTTGTCCTGCCCCATGTGGACCTCCCCCACAGAATTTGCATTCACACTCCTATTTTCTTCTTACAGATATATTAAGAGGCAAGTTTTGTTGAGGGTTAATGGCAATTTATATCTCTGGAGATGAGATTTCAAATGTTGCTCAGGTCAGCTGCAGAGAGATTCAGTGGTCTCTGTCCTAATTGGCAATTGGTTCTCATCACGTAACCAGTATCACCACAATGACAAATTGCTGTGATTCTCTCTCTGCCCAGGAGGTTCAGCACTGGAATAGCAGGGAGTTTTGCAGGTCAGGAGTGAGGTGCATTGCCAAAGCTCTATGGGGGAAGCTTGCACAGTGCATGTCTATACTCTGCTTGACTTAATCAATGCTAAGATTCCCATTTTCAATTAAAACAAAATTTCCCTCCTCCTCACACACACGTGTGTGCACATGTGTGCATGCACACAAAAGGTTTTGAAGTTGCAATTCAGCTAAGCAGTTTTGGTTTAGAGTCTATGCCTTTTGCTTGGATTTGAGGTCCACAGTTTTTATGGTGGCCTCTTTGCTTCAACATATATTCTGGGGTATGTTCATGTTCAGAGTCTTCTGCAAGTTTCCACCCATGTTGCCCAAGATGCATTCTGAAATTCTTCAGTCCTGTATTATCTGGAAACCAGAAAGCCATTGATCTGTATACAAAAGACATGAGTTTTAGCCCTTTCCCCTCATCCTCTGTTTCCGCTTAATACCATGGTTTTCTCTTGTTTTGTTTTTTAACAAGATAGTCTGAATGAGTAAATGTCTATATGGCTTAGTTAGAGTTTTACTTCCCTGCATGGTTAAAAATCTATATGCTTTACCAAAACAATCAGCTGTGCTGAATTTGTAAATATTTATTCTGCTCTCTGCTGTTCTTTTGATATTTGTAGGCCAAAGCTACCTGTGAATTACTCTTGATTTTAGTCATTATTGTTTGGTTTTGAGAATAGCCTCTGGCCTCTATCAAATCCCTACTTGTTCACATATAATTGCAAAAGAAAGAACAAAAATAACTGGCCTGGCAAAATGTTCTTCATATCCCACTGCCTATGCTTTCCAGAGCGGTGTTTTCCTCTTCACACATGAACTTCACTCTCTCTCTCTCCCATCCATACAGCCATGTGTATTAAACGCCCACGGCTGCCCTTTCCCTTCTAGGCAACATTGACATTGAAGGCTTTTCTGTGAAGTCTTGATTTATGACTATGAAAAGTACCTTCTTGTGCTGTTGCTAAAGCCCAAGGCTTCTGGTTTTCAGTTAAAACAAAAATTATTGCTGAAGAGCTCCTTGATGAATATTAACCCTGAACCCTTAATAAATATTTGGAAAAAAAAGAAAAAAAAGAGAAATGTTCTTCTAGTCTTTATTAACCATGCAGTTTTCTACTGCTTTTTTGTTGTCTCGCAGCAAAAAGCAGTTACAAAACTAGTAGCCTGTATTGAGGGTTGTCCAGAATCTGAACAGAATGAGAAAACAGCCAAAGAGTTATTTCATTGTATCTTTGCATCCTTCTCACCCAAAATAATTCCTCTTTTAAAAAGAATGCAAGATTCTTCCTGCTTAGCATGAAAATGGGAGGCCCCAGTGTTTGAGTGGGGTGTAGCTGCACGAAGCACCTGGTATTCACATAATAATGGAAAAACTACAGTTTGGTGATCTGATGGTGAAGCAAAGGAAATGAATCTTTCTGGAGGCCACTCACTCACTCTTGGGTTCTTCCTACACCTTAGGAAAAAAAATCTGAATGCATTTTCCTGCCCTGTGGTTTCCATTCTAATCTAATGATATGAAACCTCTCTCTCTTCTTCTCTCTCTTGGGAATCCGAAAGCAGATGCTCCTGCTGCCTGCCTTGTGCTGTGTTCTCAATGCTCCCTTCCCCTCCCTGGGTTCCTAAGGGTTGTGGTGTTTTGTGTATATGTTTTGTAAATGTTTTAAAGGTACAGTGGTAAATTGCAAACTGCCCTGGGTTTGCCCCCACCCAGTGTGCCAGGGGGTTGAGCAGCGCTTTGTCCCCGCCGAGCTGTGGCGGGAGAACTCTACTGGGATCGCTCCAGTGCTGTCAGTAGGAGGGACTGGAGGAGGTGTTCAGGTAGCATTCTTCATTTTGAATCCACCTGAGATGACCAGGCAGTTTTCTTTGACAGCCTGGGGAAGATCTATCAAACTGGCTGCATCTTCAGGATCTCTGTGTACTTACAGAATTTGGTGACCAAAGAGGGAGCTGGGTGTATCCATCTCACCTCAGGTTCTTTCAGAAATGGTATTTGTTGACTTTCTCTATCACAGCAGCATAGGAGGCAGTTAACGAGTTTTGCTGATTCTTCTCTCAAAGTTATATGAATTCTTGTTTTGTAACTCGCTTTCTTCCCAGATTCAGTCTGTTTACTAGGAATATATGGGCCCTGGTAGGCCTCACACTGCTACTGCTTCACTCTGTGTGAGAAACAAGATAAAAACTTTAAACATTCCTTAAATTACATTTTATTTTCTTCTTGTTTAATAGAATGACGTCAGTCTTCCCTTGATGTATTTGGCTTTTTTTGCTTGCTTCCAGGAAACTAGCTGTTTATTTCATTTGTCCTGTTTACCATTACATCTCTAGCTCTGACTGGTATAAGTGCCTTTAAATAGCATTCTGCCCATGGTTGCAGTTTACCATGCACTTCACTGAACCATGAATAAAACACCTCCAGAGGAAGTCGAGAGGATTCCTGCTCCTTTTGTTAGTGGAGATGCATCCTCTGGATGGGTATTTTGCACTATTGTGCTGAATCGAACAAGTGGACATATTTGCAGAATTAATGCAGTCTGCCTGTGTAATGAATACCCTGTGGCATTTGTAAAACTGCAGGGGAAGGGAATCCAAGTTCTTTGTTCACCAGCTGTGTACCGTGTGGCATTCCAAGATGTGCCCTCATTGACTTTCAGAGACCAGGAGTATGTAAGGATACAGCAAAATCTTGGCTGAATAGGGAGTGGATTTTGGTGGTTTTGGGGTTGTTTGTAGCTTTTAAAATGGTAAGAGTTCATATTAATGCAGAGGAGCTCGTGGTTTCAGGATACTGTAAGTTTTATGTCCCTCACTGATTTCCACTTGGGAGACCCAGATCTCCAAATTCCTGTATCGGACTATAGGGCCTATAAGTGCTTCATATTTATTTTTAAAATTAGTTGTGTAGTCGGTTATGAAAGAAATTGCATCTGTTGGTGTTTGAATTTATGTAAGTAAACCTTTATTAACTAAAAACTTCTGTGGAAGCTGTGTGGATTTTCAAGTTTGCAGTTAACTGTAGGTTAAGATAAGAATGTGACTAGGTTTGGATAATGGTGCCTTAAAGATTGTAAGTTTGCATGTGCATTTATTTCTACTTTAAATGGATTAGGTACTTTGAGTTGAGGCACTCTTGTTCTGGGCCTAGTTTCCACTCAGTGGAAAGCCCCTTATTACATAAAATGAATTAGAAATCTTGTTTTCATTTTAATTCATTTTATAATTTTTTGTCAGATTTAATCAGTTGAACCAGAAATACAAACAATGTTGTTAATACAATGAGGTTTAAAAACAATTTAAGTACTGGTGATCAGCATCACTTTCTCAGGTCACCAAATCATTTTAGGATGCCAGTGGCATGAAGGAGACATGACCAGTCTCCCTTTATCCTAGTTCATTGGTTTCATGCCTTGAAGTCTGCAATACTGAACTAAAGAGATCAATTAGTCCATACACTGAACTGATATATTTAAACTTGCATTTCAGGCTGAAGTTTATGGTTGCATAGTATAAGCTCATCTACTGCTTCTGTGGGAGTGCTTTTCCTGCAGTGCTCAGTTCACTCTGCAGGGAGCTGGATCTAGGTGCTAAATTAGCAGGGAGAGGAATGAGCTTGTCCTCAGTCAGTTCAGCCTGTCAAACTCACGGACCACGCAGCGAGGTCCAGGATCAGTTGAAGGGAGGAGGAGCAGCACACACTGGGGATGGCTGGGGCTGTGAAGCCCTGTCCTGAGCTGGCTGGAGCTGCTCTGAAGCCCCAGGCTCTCACTGCCCGGCAGTGCAGGCTGGGCTCCAGCTCCTCGCTGCTGGCCTCTGCCCCCTCTGCTGTTTCGCAGCAGGGATTGGCAGTGGAGCAGCTCAAGCTGGATTGTAGAAATGATAGAGCTTAAAAATAGCCCTGCAGGTTTTTTTTTTAAGATACACTTGCTTTTTTTTTTAGTCAGGTTAATTTCTGCATCTGACTCACCAGATTGCGCAGGTACACGGATAGGTTCTACATGTGTACGTACCTTAATGCAAAGCATGGCACAGGGGCTGGGAGGAGCTGGAAGAGCTCCTGGAATGGTGGCAGCTTGGTTTCCACAGATGCTTTCACCAACATGAAGGATGCATTTGTGTGCGTTACTTCAATAACTTGTTTTTGGGTTTTGTGCTGTGTTGCTGTCGGTGCATTCAGTCCTGCTCATCTCAGGTGGATTATAGCTGAAACCCTCCTACTCTTTCCAAATGCCTTGGAAACAGGTAGCCTAAACTGCTGCCTTTTTGGAAAAATTTTCAGGCTTCTAAAAGTTTAATATTGAAATAAGGGGAAAAAAAGAAAAACCTTGGTTAGAAAAAAAGCAAAGCAGCAGATAACAGCAAGGCTGGTTGCTGGCTGCATGTTCCAGTGGTACAAGGCAAAGACGCTGCTGCTGAGGTGACTGGTCTAAACTCCATGACAAACAAAGGGTTAACAATGCATGGATTTCAAGGGGCTCTGTTTAGTTTTCTTTGGTTTTATTTCTTTTTTATTTTACTTTATTTTATTTTTGTTGTTGTTTTTTGTTTAATTTCTGTGTTCTGGCCACACCCAGGAGAACCGTCTGGTTTTGATTTCTCCCTTTACGGTTACATGGTAAATTTTCTTTCTCATTCTTCAGAGATGGAAACGTTCAAATACTATATATATATACATTTATTATTTTTTTCACTGCTCATCATGTTGCTTGTTATTTATTGCAGAATCTGAGGCCAGACTAAAAGGGTGACAGTTACTCGGTCTCTTCAGGCCCTTTCAATAAACCTTTGGGTAAAAAGGGATTAGTCTGGTACTGCAAATTTCTCACCACTCCTAAAAATGTTTATTGGAATTTAGTGTTCGCTGGGTTAAACTTAACTTATCTTCTGCATGGGAGAAGTTAAACTTATTTTCTGCATGGGAGAAGTTTGTGGCAGTTGTTGGTGGGGAGGAATTGTTGAAAATTTCAGCCTTGTTATCATAACATTATTAAACTCAAACTATGTGTATAATCTAAATTTTAGAAAACCTAAGTATTGTTTTCATCTAGGATCTTCCCTTCCTCTGGCTCCATACCTATTACTATGGAGCAGTCCAGTACCTGCTATAAAGCTAAGCTGGTAAATATTGGATACCTTGGATACCTGCCCCATCTTTTTTTCTCTTGCTTTGTTTCTTTTTTTTTCTTTCAAGGTCAAGACAACCTTGCTGAGGGAAAACTGAAAAGTGTTTGTTGCATATGTATTTAGGTACAAATTAATCCCTATTCTTTACAGGTCATCTGTGAGAAGGAATAAAAAATATATGTATGTTATTTTTTTCTCTCCCACTTCAAAAATGTGTGTATATATATCTAATTGCTAGTTTTTAAACGTAGAAATAACAAAAATGTCAAGTGTGGCTCACCTGTTTTTCCTGATGAAAATTTGAATGTCTAAGAGATGCATTAATTTGACAAACCAAGAGGACACAAATACTAACTGCCATAGTCAACTATGTAAAGTATTAATTCAGCATTGACACTAAATGGTGCTCAACAAAGAGTTGTACAAGCTAAGGGCTGATCTGTCAATAAAATATGCTTAATTAGTTATGTTGTTCTGAATCAGATTAATTCTGGTTTAATTCACATTGTTAATTATATTCATATAGTCTGCATGTGGATCGTATGCTACCTTGAGTTAACTTTTTATTAAGTTCCTGAAAATTCCTACTCAATTTAAAGATATTTAATGATAATGTAGTTTTTAAAAATCCCATACAGACTTCACTAATTGCAAACAGATGTGAATTAAAATAGTCTTAGTTTGGTTCTAGCCCGCACAGATTAATGTCTAAAGAATTACTTTCCATCTGCACTCCAGCTTTCAGTTCACATCATCACTGAAGACATAAATTTCATTTGTTCTCCACAGGCTTGTCTAGAACAAACAGAAATTTTAATGAAAAAAGAGAAGAGGGAAGTAGAGATTCCTGTTGCAGTCTTTACCTCCCCTCCTCCCCCAGCCTTTAAAGGACGTTTTTTCCCTATTATAGAGAACCAGAGGGAAAGGTGTTGCTCTTTTTCTCAGGCTTACCTTTCTCTGTAGGGGCTCTTTAAAGCAGGCACAGTACTCTATTCCTTCATAATCAGCTGTGCTACTACACCCCCCGCACCCACTCAGTTCTCTGCAACATATTTGAGAGTTATATGCAATTGTGCTGTTTTATTAGCCCCTGTGTCTTGTAGCTCTGATTTTAATTCATTTAAACAGGGAACTTCTATGCTGTTCTGAAAGAGGCATCAGTTTGTTATTTATATAGCTCTTTATTTATAGCTGGAGAAATTAAATTATCTGAAGCTTTAGATGATTGGGTTGGAGCCCAAAGGAGCGCTTTTGTTGATCTCAGCATTGCAGTACTGGCTAAGATCCTTCATTATTGCTGTTCAGGGGGGAGGGAAAAAAGTAAACCTTCCCCCTCAAAAAAACAACAGCCACCACCCTGCATTTTACAAATTTGTGACAGTTTTGTGCTGGAAACCTAGCTGTGGATGATAAAGGCCAGCTTGTCACTTAAACAGCTTGGGCTGTTCAGATTAGTATTGTAAAGACCTTTAAAAAGCACTTGAAGAATAATAGCTTGCTTGTGTCTTATTGCTAACAGTGCTTAGAAATCAAGATGCTATCTGTTTTTTGGGCTGTCCAGTCCAAATACTTACTGATCCCAAGGTGCATGAAGGAGGTTGCCTGGCTAGCATGCCCCCCTTCCCTGACAAGCATAGCTGTACATCACTCTCATCACCTCACTCTTCAGTTAACATTGGGAGGGAGTTTCCATTGCATCAAATATAAGCTTTGTTGTTCTGCTCCTGAGGGTACTGGAGCCAGTGGAAATTACTCTCTGTACATTAAAGCAGTATTTGCTTTATATCAAGCCACAGGAGCCAGTTGTTGCTGTTGTTAAAATGTCCTGAAAGCAGAATGCAACAATGCTTTTTGTTTGGGTCCACTCTCTCTAATGGCATGAAGAGTATCTCATCACAGTTGTCTGTATTAAGATGCCATTTGCTCCTAGTTAAAATCCTAATTCATTTTGTCATGTTAGCTCTCTCTTAATGTCAGTGCACTCAGCTCTGTGGAAGGAAGCATGGTCTCTTACCCTGCCCTGTTATACCACTGCATGAGCTGGCAGCAGGATGAGCGTGTGTAGGACAGGCATGTGTTCCTTGTGCCTTCATGGGTGTGGTAAACCTGAATTTATCTAACTAAAGTGACATTTTGGCAGTCCTTGAGCCTTTGTGGTTGCTCCAAGCAGGGCATGTCGATTTTTCTGGAAATTTTGTATGCTAACCAGGCAGAGATCTGTTGCTATCCACAATGCAGAAGTTGCCATCTCAGAACACAGCTGAGTAAGATGGGTAGCAGAGGGTCAGCAGTGCCATACAAAACCTGCCTTGACCAATGAATCAGTATTTAGGTGTTTGGATTTACAGTCAAGTCCATCACAGTATTCAGAGATAAGAATATTCTGGAACTACAGCATGTGATACTCTAAATCTTCACATTAAAAATGCTTACTTTATGGTGCCTCCTGGAAGCCTTCCTTACTTTCAGGGCCCCATGTATCATTGGGCAAGTTACAGGCTTAGGAGTAGGCACGAGCTGTGCCCTGAAGAGCTTACAAGGGATGCTTTACAAAGAGCCCTTCCTTTCAACAGTGTTCTAAGGTAGGTAATTATTACTGTCTCCATTCTACAGGTGGGAAAAGTAAGGTTCAGCGTTTGATTTGCCCAAAGCTTTGCAGAATTCCTGGTGCCAGGCATGAACTCCGGTTGCTCACACTCTCATAGCAGTTTGTCAAGGGAACAAAGTGCTGCTCAGTGTCGATGCCTTGTACTGTGTCTGGGGTGGACGGGGGTCCTACAAAATTTGTGTGTTCATTAAGAGGGGAGAGAAGCCCTACTTGGGCTTACCCAGCTTGCCTGTGTCAGAGCAGGGTTTAGTGTTTTTTAACAAAAAACCAAACCAAACCAAAATGAAAAATTGTCTCGAGTAACTTTGTACTTCTTTTTTGGTCTGGCCTCAATTGCTTTTATGTTTTCTTTTTTTTTTTTAATTACTCTTATTATTCTTATTATGATTACAGTTCCTTTTTTATTGATTTTAATTTCTTTCATTTATGAAACATGCATGAACCAACAATGTGACTCTAGGAGGTTATTGCTGAGTTGTGCTGATGTCGATTTCATACTGTGATATTTTTTCTCTATTTACCTAGAGATCAGTATTTCAATATATAACGATGTGCATGTTTTCCCCCCTTCTCCCGCTGCATGCAGGGATTCGGGTTCGTAACTTTCGAGAATAGTGCTGATGCAGACAGGGCCAGGGAGAAATTACACGGCACCGTGGTAGAGGGCCGTAAAATCGAGGTGCATGTCTTCAGTAATTCAATTTCTTCTTTATATTTATTCTTTTGATTTCTTTTTGTGTCTTGCCTCACTTATTTCACATTTGGATCCCAGTCTCGTGTGTGCGTGTGTGTTTGTCTGTGTCCTTCACCTCCCTGCACTGAAATGTATAGAAGTTTACACCCTTTACAGAATATTTTTTTATTGTTGTTTTGGGTATTTTTTTCCTTTTCTTTCTTCTTTTATTAAGTTTTATTCCCACCCACTCCAAGTTTTTGCCCTTCTGCTGTTCTGATTTTTCCTTTGCTTCAGTTTGCAAGGCTCCGATTTCCTGTTACCAAGCCTGAACAAAACTAACTGAAAGAGTACTGTCCAACTTCTAACTGTGTCCAAAAAAGAAAGCAGGGGGCCAGCCAGTATCCTCTCTTTCCTCTGAGGCCAGTTCTCCTCCATGCAAGTGTGAGATGATGCCTGTGGGAGGGGTGGGGATACGTGGGGCAGCAGCCCCAAGTGGGCTGTGCTATATACACTGCTGGTTTCTTGATCAGCCCATGGTCAAGAAAAGGTTTGGTGAAAGCTAATCCTAAAAGCCTGCTAGCTCTCACCGCCAGGGAGGGAAGGGTTAATGTTGGCTGGCCATCATGGCCATATGTTGGGCCTGTCTGGTATTGACCAGTTTGGTGTTCCACTGTGTTGAAGGCTAACTGGCATCATCCCTCTCTCCTTCTTTCTTTAAAAGAAACAAACACAAATCAAAAAGTACAAATATTGAAACAAAAAAGCCGCCGTTTTTGAGTAAGATGTCTGCATATTTTGCCTTTTTTTTTTTCTGTTTTGTTTTGTTTTTTTATTTCCCTTTCCGATGGTTTAGCGTTTAGGGCCCTTCACTTGACTCACTCTTTCCATGGTAACTATACACAATGCTGGCGATGGTACGAGTTGGCGGTAAGTGAAACAACAGTGCTAGAGAAGAAGCTTTTTCTTTTCTTTTTTTTTAAATTTTTCTTAAAATTACAAAAAAAATTAAGAAAGAAAAAATCCATCTGCCATCTCACATTAACACTACGAAATGTGATTTGACTTGTTGTCCCCACCCACCTCCTTCCCCTTCTCCCCTTTTATTTTCAATGCTGTTGAGTAATGCCGCCTGGACTTTGGATGTACATATTGTTTTGTAGCAGTCTGAGCTGTTTGATTACTGACTTCATGGTGATTTCCCCTTGCACATCTTACTCAGAGTTACTGAACTCCAGTTTGGCTGGTTTTTATTAATGCACCCATATCCTCTTTCTCTCCTGCCCCTTCTTTCTGCTGCTCTTTCTATCTGAGACCTGTTTGTAGCTGTTATTGTTTTTCTCTCTTTTTCTTTCTGCCCCCTCCCCAGTTTATTTCTTCACTAAGTTAAATGCAGCTGTTGGTCTCTTTGCTGACTGGTGGTTTCTGATTGGTTCTGGCAATTTTTCCTTTAAGTGCTTGTGTTGCACTTTGCTGTAGCAGCTGATTTCAGGCACTCGCTCCATCTAATGATTGTCTGTGAGACCCTATCCCCTCACTCCTCCCCTCCCCACCCTCTGAATCAATTGTGGTGTGTTTTTTTTCTTTCTTTTTTTTATCTGTGTGTGTTTAACTGCATGCTCTCAGTCTCATCATTGTTGTTTCCCATTCTTTCTATTTTAAATGTGTAATGTTTCTATTGTTTTGGGTCTGAAACAAGAGTAAAATGTAGCTCTGGACTCCTCACCCTGTGTACGCCCACCATCCATACATCTCAAGGGCCTGAGGCAGCTTCTATTTTTGTATCCATTTTTTTTCTTCTTCACCCTGGCCTCCATTCCCATTGGGCATGCATTTTGATAAATTATTGATGATTCATAAAGACTTCACCCTCCTTGCAAGAGCTTTGAGGCTGACATGGGGCTGCAGTAACTTGGCTTCCAAACTAGTCCATCTTTTCTTTATCAGCACCATCTCTGCGGTAACACCCCACTTGCTTGAGCAGTCAAACCGCTTGGAACTGTGCAGAGCTCTGTAAAGAGGGTGGAGGGCACAGTAAGCCCAAAAATGATCCAGGTCTGCTGCTATGTACTCTTTTTGTCCCATGAGATTTGTGACAAGGAAAAATTATCTGGAAAAAGATTTGAAAATGGTGGTTGTAAATCAGTGAATGTAGATCATTTAAAGAGTTGGTGATGTTCCAGAGATTTTCTCAAGCCTTGGGAGTTCAGATCTAATGCTGAGGGACTCCAGGCTGCCTTCTTCTACTCAAGTGTTCTGCCAGTGACCTGCTGGGCCCCAATGCCAGCGGTGAGCTTGAGAAACAAGTCAGCCTGTGCATCACCTGGTTCAGTTCCCCTGCCATGGGCTGCAGAAATTATTCCTGCCTCTCTTAAGATAACCTGGACAAAGCATCTAGGGTTGTGCCCTTTTGATCACTGAGCTGTAAATAATCCCGTGCCTAGGGATGGCAGGGTGGTGGAGAATCTGCACTTTACTCTTGTTGGCCTTTTGTTTAATGCATAATTTTAAAATGCCACGTTTAGCTGTAACTTTTATAATTAAATGGCAACTGTTAAAAGTAATTTTAAGATTGCATTAATGTAAAATTAGCTGTTTAATTTTATTTTGCTCAGAGAAGTATAGTGTGTATGTGTGTGTGTGTGGTATCTGAGAGTTTTTCACCATTTTCCCTAACGTTCTGTGCTTCCTTCCCTCTCCTCCCCCTCCCCTTTCTTACTTTTAGGTTAACAATGCCACTGCGAGAGTGATGACCAATAAGAAGATGGTCACACCTTATGCAAATGGTAAGAGAGACAGTTTGTACTAGTGATGAGCTGAAACGTTTGAAGAAAGACAAAAGGGAAAAGTCATGACCTCTCCTCAGGACCAAAAGGAACCAAGAAAACCTCACAAACTCTAATTTCTATCATTATACCATTCAGTATAACCCAAAAGTGTTTGTGGAGAATACCATTTTCCAGTTGGAGAAGTGGGGACAGAAAGAAGTAGGGACATGCCCCATGTGGCAAAGATGGGTGAAGGTGCCAAGGGCCAGTGGGTTGCCTGCCCTACTACTGCAAGCTGACTCTGTATGGTGGGATGTGCAGTACTCCTGTGTCTCACTCCATCACATACATACCTAAATATGAATGCAGAAACATAACATAACTTAAGATGCTTAATCTAAGTCATTAGCTTAATAACTTAAGATAGCTCAGTTTAGGTTCTATCTGTAAAAGTATAGCTGTCCCCAAGCAACCAGCAAAACAGAGCCTTTGCACTGCTTGTTTGCTTGCTTTTTGTTTCAGACTGCCTGTATTCAGTGAATTTTCCAGTGAACCTAAACAGAGGAAGACCAAGTTGTTTGGGTAGTGAGGAAGCCTGTTTGATTGGGATATCTTGGTGGTTCTCTGTGAAGTCATTTTTCTTCATAGGCATGTATAGCATAAAAAGTGATTCTCCCAGCAGAATGCTGCTTTGATAAAGATTTTGAATCTGAGTCTTCCTCCTGAAACGGGCAGCAAAGTTCTTTTCAGTATGAAAATGTTCCCAAACAGTTTCTTCAAGGCAGGAAGCTGCATACAGGTAGTAGCTGGTGTGACAATCTGTTTTGATTACAAAGTAAGACTCCAAACTCAGAAGATAAAAATTCTTTATGTTGCTGTGCTGCCGACTTACTAAGTGGTCCCTTCAAGTAAATCTTACCTTGGGTACAGATATGGGGAAACATAGCCAAGCAAAAGGCTTGGGACTGTGGGTCTCACAGTACCTGGAAGGAACTAGGAGATTTTGTAGCAAAAGGCAAGGCATCCATGGTACATTGTCCTGAAAACAAGAGCAGAAAATGTCATGTATGTGACTGTTTGGTAATGAAACTTGGCTTACTTGTGAAAGTGATAGTGTACAAGAATATTTTGCTTTTGCTGCCAGCAGTTTAAAGCCAGCTTTAAAGCTATGCAAAGAAATTTAGTATTAGACCAGACTTAAGGAGTATTGGCAAGTATGGTTGTACAACTGTTATTAAATTTAAGAGTTGACAGTCCTCTTGTTGCCACTACTGGAGTATTTTGCCATCAAAGTGACCAGTGCAGCAGCAGTGTGCTTGTACTTGCAGAGGGAGCCTGCGCTGCATCTGTCATTGACACTCTGCCAGCAGGTGAAGGTGTGATGGTGATGGGGTGCAGTTCTCAGAGTTGTTCATATAGCTTCTAGAGTGGTTAGAGGTGTTAAAAGTTCAGCAAGTGCACCAGAGCTCCAAGACAGAGGAAGTGTATAGATTTATTTAAATAAAAATGCCTCTGTGATTGCTAGCTGAACAGCTGAGATCTTTCCTGAGAGGAATGCTTTGTGGAAGCCAACCCAGATCACATTGTTAGCTTTATATTTCTTTTCTCCCCCATTAGAGAGATGGAGGGGGAAAAGACAGATAGGTTTCTAGATGTGACTGGACATATGTACCAACTCATACCCATACTTCTTTAAGCTCTATTCTCTTGTAGGTTTTATCTTGATGATTTGCAGTTCTTGCCAATTATCCAGATTATATTGAAATCATTTCTCTGTGAAGGCTTTCACCTGAAAAGCAGCATAAAGGAGAGAAATACTGAAATAACAGTGAGGAGAAAGTGTGAGATGAATAGAATGATTTTTTTAAAATGAACTATAGTTGCGTAATGCAGTTAATGAAGAAATTCAGACACTGTTGCTTTTTAGCAGATCTCTAGCAGATGAGAGAAGGGTGCTTTGAGAATTCAAGGCTATAATTTGACTTGCCTGAGATGACAGTCTGGGCCAGTGGCTTTAGGGAGCGCTTGTATCTGCAGTGTTCCCAGTGAAAGTAGGGAGGAGCTGGCACCAAGGCTTCCACAGGGAATGCCAGGTCGCACGGTGCTCGTGGCAAATACGCATATAAGGTAGTTGGCATTCCCACAGCAGTGCCTCTGCCTGCTGCAGGTCAGCTGATGTTTTGCTATTCCCTCCGATACAGTGACCTGCACCTAGAGCTTGACGTTAGGAGAGGGCAGTTGGCCTCCATCTACACCAAGGGGGATTGAGGCGAAGCAGAAATTGGAAAGAGCTGTGCATGTGAAGCTGGGGCGCATGCAAGAGACCATTCCCCCTACCCACGCTGCCCGTTCCTTCTCTTGGTGTAGATTTTGGCATTCACTGCAGTCTTTGTTGTTTCAGGTTGGAAGTTGAGTCCTGTGGTTGGAGCGGTGTACGGCCCTGAGTTATATGCAGGTAGAGCTTAAGTAGACACTTCCACTTCTGCCATTTGACTGCAGTGGTGTTTGTTTATGTTCTTAATCTGCTGTTTCTTTATAACCTTTTTACTGTTTTGTTTTTGTTTTTTATTCTTTTTTAAATTAAATTAGCATCCAGCTTTCAAGCAGATGTCTCTCTGGGCAATGACGCTGCAGTGCCCCTGTCAGGAAGGGGGGGTATTAACACTTACATTCCTTTAATCAGTAAGTAGCCCCCAATGGCCCCTGTACTGTTACTGTGCTTGAGTTAATGATGACCTGTTACCCTTCTTCTCTCCAGTCTGTATAATATATACTTGAAAGGATGGGTCACAGTGGGAATGAGTTTACCTTGAGCCAAAGTATAGTGTGCAGTTGCTGTAACTTGTTCATCTGCAGTGTCTTGCTGTACTGCTTAATGGGTCCTTCTGAACGACAAGGAGGCTGCAGAACAAGGGGAGGGTGTGTGTGAGGAATGGGCCATTCCCTTGCTCCCCTCCTTGTATTGAAATGGAAGAAACCTAACAGACAAATCCCTAAAGTACATATTATACAAGCTGCTGAACCACGGGTCTGCAGGGCCCCTAGTGGCATGCACCTGGATGCATGCTGGGTTGGGATTGTGCCATGGGACTCGTTCCCTCTCAATATCTGTTTATGATGTGTTTGCAGATGCCTCTGAGGTTTTACAAAGTTTCATCACAAGCCAGTTTACTCCAGTTTAAAGCATAATAATAGAGGCATTGCTATATGTGGTGCCAGTTATTGGTCACACTTGTTAAATGAAGGTGGGCTCTCAGTAAACTGGCACTTTATGGGAAATTGCTGCTGCTGTTATATGGGCTATCTTGTCTTTCAGGCTTTAAAATGAACATACAGAGGATTGGGTGGCAAAGAGTGGGAGGGGAAAGGAGGGAAGAGACTGATGTAAGTTGGTTGACTTTAAGGGCCTCTTGACAAATTATTTTAAAGAGCCTCTGCAGTTTTGGAAGAACTGCGTGCTGTATTGATAGTAACTCCCCATGCTTCTCAGACTCTAACCAGACTGCATGGCAGTATTGAAAGGTGGGGGGATTTGAGCCCTGTTTGGGGTGGGTAAGGCATGCCAAAACATTAACCTCTTGCATGCCAAACCGTTCTGCAACCCTTCTCCCCCCAAAGGCCATGGTGTAGCAGGAAGTATGTATGGGATGCTTGCTGGGTTATAAGCATGTCCTTCTGCAGGATTGATGCCAAATGTCCCACCGCTGTGGAGCTGTTGTGTCACTTTGTTTGAAGCAGGTGGTTGCTCTCTGGAGTGGAGATTGTATCCTTTTCACCTTCCACCTTGTCTATCTTCACAGTTCCAGGCTTCCCCTATCCAACTGCAGCCACCACAGCGGCCGCGTTTCGGGGCGCCCATCTGAGGGGCCGAGGAAGGACAGTGTACGGGGCAGTGCGGGCAGTTCCTCCCACGGCCATCCCTGCCTACCCAGGGTAAGCACTGTCACAGGAGCAGAGTGCTCTGCACAGCTGTGTCAAAGAGCTAATCGGTTAACAAAAACCCTAAAATTGTCTGGATGGTGAGAGTCAAGATCTTGCTAGTGCCAGAGCATTCTGCACATGATGGCATCCAGTGGGGGCAAATCTAAATTTTTCTGTCTTAAGTTCTTGACTGAAACAATTTTCAGTACTTGCAACAGCTTAAAGTGCTGATGGGTTCCTTCTCATAATTTCTCAATTTGTCTGTATACGGTATGTGTCATCCATTGACCCAATATGTTATAGTGCTGCTGAGAAGGACACAAAGAGAAGATCTAAAATTCCTGAAAAACTTCTGCTCTTTGTACTCCATTTGTGTTTCCATATTCAGGAATGAGGAATATTATCCATTAATTCATGCCTCACCATCTGGCAGTAGGACACAGAAGAGCCAGTTACCCACAATGGATTTGCTTTCTTTGTTGGAGACGGTTTAAAAAGGTTTAAAACAAAGATTAATCAAGTCCATTAATTTAAAGCTGGGAGCATTTGAGATGTAGAGAGAATGATAATGCAATGAAGCAATGGCAAATGTGTGGTCTTAGCATTCTTTGCCCTCAAATTTTCACTAGTAATGCAGTGCAAAAAATGCTGTTACAAAGGAGTATTCTGCTGTTTAAAAGTAGAGGGAACTAGATCTGTATGTGAGTTTTGGTTTGGGTTTTTGTTGGTTTGTTTAAATGTGGTGGAATGACAGATAAATCAGCAAATCCCTTCCAAACTGTCTTTTTTTTGTTTGTTTGTTTTGTTTCTGATTTTGAGGATGGTTTAATCATATTGTCTCGAGTTCTACTTGCCATATTTTCCAGGCAATGTTCTCAGAAAGAACAGGAGTAGAAACGAATCCTCCAGCACAGAGATGTGGACTGACCCTTCTTTTCCTTTACACTAGGCCCAAAGGGGAAGAAAAAAAACCATAAATCTTTTATTAAGAAGGAAAGTGGAATCCATACACATCAGTGCAGGGAGCTGGCCTGATCTATATTGGATAAGCTCACAATACCTTCTGCAGCAGATTAAGTGATGAGAGCTACTGTGACCCTTTTAGAGTCTAGTCTGATTTTTAAAGTGGAGCTCCAGGAAGCAAGCTGCAATGCTCATGTACCTGTCTAGCTTTGCTCTTTGGCAATTTTGGCTATGTTTGTATTTAATTCACCAGAAGACTTTAAATGAAACCTCTCATGTAAATATTGGTCTTCTGAACATTGTGTTTCTTCTGGGTTTTCAAATCCACTTTTTTGCCACCACTCCTAGTTTACATTCTCTATCCTCTAACCATAGCCTCTGACCTGCAACTTGTCTGTCTATTGCTCTAAAAATGGCCCAGTCCAATTTTACTGGGGAGTGCTCCACAGTGAAACAAAGCAGCAAAGCTGAGCTAAGTGCTACCGTCTAGCAGAATATTAAATATTTGCACCAGGGAGGGGGAATGTGCTTTTCATCCCTGGGAGTAGCAGCTAGAGCATTCCTAGCCAGAGGCTGTCATGAGTGGGGCACTGGGAAGGCCTTGTCTTTGATGTAAATCCAGCCTGAGTCCCATGTAAAAGGTTTATTTTCATTTGAAATATGGGCCAGGCTCCAATGATTAGCCATTCCAAATACCGTCTCATGTCTGTGTTTACTGGTATTACACTGAATTTTTCTGACCCTGCTGACTGATCCCATGTCTTCATGGGCAGCATACTACCTAGTAAGCATTTACAGGGCACCAGTAAGCAAGGCAGATTCACAGAGTCCCAGAACTGTCCCTAGTCCCAAGCAGTGGGATGTAATTACCAACTACTGGTGTTTTTTGTCATCATAGTGTGTCTCTGCAAGATACTTTGTAGAACAAATTGGATTCCTAGTGGAATAATACAAAATGTGCTGTACAATTCCATGTTGCAGTAATCTGTAGGACAGCCAGCACTCTGTGTGGGCACTGTTGACCTCCATGGGGTCAGGGACAGGCACACGTTCCTGACATCTTGCCCTCCATCTGTTACTTTCTTCCTGGCCAGTGGAAAGATGACACCATAAGATCAGTCAGCAACATCAATGACCAAGACATAGTGAGTAATATCGAAGAAAACAGTAAAGTAAGCTGCAGGTTAACTCAAACCTGATAGAAGGAATTGGTATTCCCAAACCTCAGTGGTGTTTAAGTTACAAAACTTAATGGTATTGCTGCATTTGAGAGCTTAGCAGAATATAAAAAATAGAGAATGTAGATCAATAAAAGCTCATTGGTATTGCCATACTGGATCAGACCTGAGCACCATCCAGGCTAGAGTGAGTTTTGACAGTGTCAAATGCTAAGCCAGAGGAAGGTGCAAGAAATCATAGCTCTTAATAGTTTTAATATTTATTTCTAGAACTCAAGATTTGCTAATGCCTATGTGGAATGCCTATACTTATGCATGGCCATGGTTGTTTATCCAGAGAAGGGTTTTGATACCTCAGAAAGCAACTGCTTAGACTATTGTAGGTGAGTTAGATAGTCACCTAAACCTCACTTTGAACACTAATGCAACCTTCAGTTTTCAACTGAGGTGCCACTTGGTAGAAATAAGGAGACATTATAACCTCTGATATAAAGCACAAGTAAAAACTCTACTGGAATATTGCCCTGATTTGTAGCAGCCATGCTTTTTAAATGAGAATGCTAACATATAACATTTCAGACCAAAAGCTGAAAGAATCCAGACAGTCTGAAAAAAACTCACCTACTGTAAAACTCTCAAAGTTACATAAGCTTGATAAATTTTTTTTCTCAAACTATAGGTTAGTCATTGACTTGTGCATGGTATTAAGTACCTATATGAGGAATAGACTTGCCATAGTAAAGAGTAATTTTGTCTTGGAGTGTAAATATATATGAAATTCACTGATTTGACGCCATAGTAGATAGAAGACTAGATACAGGGCAGCAGTCAGCTTTGAGGATTTGAAGTGGTTTTTTTCGCTCCTTTTCCAACACAACAGTCAGCTGTTGGTACACCTAAATGATATGCTGACTACTTTACAAAACCAGCCTGTTTCTTTTTCCCTTGGATGTTTTTTAGCACAGCTAGTAGGCTTTTCACAGATTGCACCAAGATTTGACTGGCTGCCAGGCTGTTTTATACTGGTCAAGCTACAGAACCGGAATGTGGTTCTCAGATGAAGGAATTCACTGGTTTTGCTAGCATTAAGAATCCCAAGTATGGATATTCTGCCATATAAATAAACCTTGCTGAATTTCAGCCCTGGAAGCTGATGTCAGTCAAATCCTAACTAAAGCAGAGATGGAGGATTCATGTGTGTTTGGGTGTTTGGATCCAGGAAGTCTTACTCTTACCTGTTATTAGTGTTCCTTGCAGTTTTCTCTGGAGAGCTGATGCTAGCATCTCTTGCTGATAGAAATAGTGGCCTGATCCAATGTGGTAATGCTGATGTTCATCCAACTGACTGTGTTTGGAATAACTGTTAAAACTGCTAACGTGTTCATAAACCAAGTCACTTCCTCTGTCGTGCGTTTGCCTTTCCTGCAGGAGCAGGTGGAGTATCACTGCTAAAACACTCCTGGTCCTAGATAGAGAACCCAGCAATGTAAGTCACTGCCCCAGGAGCCAAACTCTTTGTCATGTGGTTGTAAAAATTTAGCTTCAACAAACATGATCTTATGGCCTGCTTCTCCCTGCTGAAGTGGCTCCCCTCTTCCTCTAACAAGGGTCTCTATCTTCATACCTGCTCCCAGCGCTCTTGGAGACTACAGTAACTGTGTCCATTGGGAATGGAGTGTACTTTTCCTGGGGAAGGCAGCAAGACTAAATTATTCAAGCAGTAGCTAACACTGCAAGATTTTTTTTAAATTTTTTTTTTATTTTTTTAGTAATAGCATGCAGAATTTTGGCAAGATCTGCTGGGCTTTTTTTGTGTGTGTGTGCCTTACAATAGGTGGGTGTCTGAGGGTTCCAGGCTCTTGGCAGCATTTCACATTCCATCTGATGAGTAAAAAATGGTAGTCAAAAGAATAGCTAGTGTTCCATACCTTCTTTTTTCTTAATGCTATGGGTAAGTCATGCACATCAGATCCATGAGCATCACAGAGGGTGGGGTTAATGCTTTTTAAAGCCTTGAGCGAGTTTGTGTGGAGCTCTTCAGGGGACAAAGCTGGAGGAAATTCCTCAGTATGTGAAGCACACGCTGAACTCAAATGGGTGGGGGGCATCCCCTCTCTTCCTTCCTCATCCTTCCCCAACCCCTGTCCCCAGAGTGAGCTGTGTAGTCTCATGCCTAGTGAATGCTCTGGTAAGAGCAGCTATGTGGGAACCCCAGGCTCTGTTTAACAGTTTTTGTGCTTGAAGTTCTGAGAGAAACAAAACTATGGCTTAAAGCAGAAAAAGCACCATCCCATGGAAACCCTTCCAGTTGCTCCTCTCTGCTAAGGAATAAGTAATTACTACCAGGGACTCCCACTGCACCTTTCAATTTTCGGATCTTGGACCAGTCACCTAACCTTTTTAGCTCATTATCTCTGCTTGTGAAAGCAATGCATTGTGGGTATTTTTGGTTTTTTCTTTTCAATTACATTTCTCTGTGTTTACTTTGATCAGAATTGATTGACTTGTTTTCCTGAGGTGTTGCATTGGTTCTTTAAGATGCTGAATAATAATACTTTGCATGCTCGTGTGATCAGCCAAATCTTATCGCATGTCTAATGTGCAGGGTAAAAGCAGGTGATGTATGGATGTCAGAAACAAAACTCATGCAGCCCTCTGAAGCCTGAAAAATGTAATCAGGCACAAGTCTCTGAACCACACTTCCTGACATAGGCGACTGCAGCCCCTGTGGGATGCCTTCTGTGAAGGGCTCCTCAATATCACAAGCCCTCTTCATGAAGCCAATGTTTCCATGTGTTTTAAGGGGTAACTGAAATCATTCCAGGAGAATAACCAGAGTGGAGGCTTCTACACCCTTGTGTCTCTCTTCAGGACGTCAGATCTTTTTGAGTCGATATTTGCTGTACAAGATGGTGGTTCCCCTCCGTCTCTCCTTTGCATACTGTCTCCCCCTCTGCCCACCCCCTGCCCCTTTGCATGCCATGGAAGATGACTTGGAGCCGTGCGTGCGCACACACGTTCTCTTGCTGATTTGCTCCTGCCAAAAGCCCAGGTTGTGGATTCATACATCACCTGCCTGTGTAAAACGCATGTGCATGCTGCCGTCCTCAATAACCGGAATGTGTTTTCTGTTCTTTTGTTTTTTGTTTGTTTTTTTTTCTTTTGTTTTGTTTTTTTTTTCTTTTTTGTTTTGTTTTTGTGTGGATTTTCTGCAGTGTGGTTTACCAGGACGGATTTTACGGTGCTGACCTCTATGTAAGTACACACACCGGAGCCTTCTTTGTCCCCAACCCCTGACAAGCCAGCCTTTTTTTGTTTTCTTTTCTTTTTCTTTTGGTTTGTTCGTTTGGTTTGGTTTTTTAAATATCATTTACTTTAATTTTCTTCTTCCTTGTGGATATATATATATTTATATATTTAGGAATGCAAGCATGCTTCTCTGTCACTGCGCTTGCCCCTGGGTGCAAGACCTAAGCCTTGGGTTTCCTGATCATTGCCAGGGTCAGTTTATTTGGTGTCCTGTCCCCCACATTCACACTGGTACTAATCAACCTGAGAGATGATTAGCAAATTAAAATTTCTCTCAACACTTCTCTCATTTACATAATTTGGATATAAAAATAACAGGACTGGTTTAGCCTCAGACCTTCCCTTTCCTTCTCCCCCTCTTCCCTCCCCTTTCTCTTCCCTCTTGGGGCCCTTTTGGGTTTGATTTGTGTAGCCCACACTACACTGAACAAGTTGTATGTTTAAAACTGTTCATGTGCCACTGGGATGTGGAGATTATCCCTTTGGGGAAGACACTGGGACTGATTAAAAATGGAGGCTGAGATGCTAGAGTGAAAACTGACATCTCATTTTGCTGGTAGGAATGGCACCTAAATAGGCTAGATTCTCTCTCCTCTTCAGGGAATTGTAAAGTACAAATATGTGGAGATGTTCGGTTACAAGAGTCAGCAGCCTCCTCCTGTTGGGGAATTGGCTATTATACCATGGGAGACTTTGTCCTGTCATTGTCTTTGTCCTGCCCAGTCAGTCTGTATTGCAAATCTCCAGGGAGTCTGTGTGCACATAGGTGGGTTGTGGATGGAGGTATTTGAACTGGCCAGTGAGAACAGTGCTTTCCTCTCCAAGGGAGAGCTGTTGCAGAGCAGGAATATGGTAGGAACTTGCCTTTCAAAGCCAAAATATTCAGTTGCCACTGCAACTCATAGCCTGCCCGGCTTTATCAGAGTTCCCAATTGTGGCACTGTAGGTCATAGCTCCCTGGAGCTGGGAAGTTTTGTATAGTTTGGGTAGTGACACAATTGTCAGCACGAATTTCAGTCCTGCTCCTTTGAAGGTGCTATTCCTGCCATTTATAAAGAGGACCCTGGGGTTAGACTCAGGATAATGGATGGAACTAGCTTTTGGATTTTGTTGGCTTTTATGGAGGAGGAAGTTCTGGACAGGTGCTTTTTCCAGCCCAGGTAGAGCAGTTGGAAGACGTGCTCTCTGAGATAGAAAGAACTGCGTGCATTTCTTCACTCTTCCATATACTGTGGTGTGTGCAGTTCTTTAAAGATTGATCTGCCTAGTCAAGTGTTTCTTTATAAAGCTGTGTCAAGGACTATGGAAGGTTCTGTGTTTTCCTGCCTCACTCCTAAAGCACTGCCTTTACAGACACTGACTTTGCTGTGGCACGTAACCAAGAAAATGAGTGGTGCTTAGTGCCTCTTCCCACAGAGTGTGGCATATAAAAGGCTGCCTCGTTGAAAGGGAAGTCTGGCCAGGGTTACTCCCTATTTTTGAGAAAGCTTCTTCAGAGCTTTTGCTAGGGAGGAGAGGCTTATATAACATGTAAGGACAGAAACTTCAGCAGTGAAGAACTCCTGTAAGCACTTGGTGCTGCAGAGCAGTACCACCATGTAACACAAAGCCAAGCCCCCAGGTCAGGTTAGAACCATTAGGTGGATTTCTGATGACTTTGCTGTTGGTGGCAGTGGTGTCACTGTCAGAAAGCAGGATGATGGAAGAGAGGACTGCATCAAAGTGGATGGTGATGCTTTTACCTGTGTTATTGCTAGCCAGAGCCCTCCAATGGAGCTCAGGAAAAAGTTACCATTATCCAAACTTGAAGTTGCCCTTCCAAACAGTTTGCTTGGCGCAGGTGGAATGACTTCAATGTCTCTGTGTCTCACTGATTTGTTGTGCTTTTCACTGCAGAGCTTCTATCCCTCTGGTTGCTATGATAGGTTTACCCAGATTCCAGAAGTTATGGCAGAGGATATTTCAGTTAGGACTGGGGTAAAGTTAAATCGAGGTTCTCTTAAGATTTGTGAGTCCATAGGGTTGTGGAAAGGAGCTGAGCTGGCAGGGAGTGGTTAATGGTAGGTGAGATGAAAGGGAAGTGTCCCAAGTTTGGGCTGCTTTTTCTGCATAATGCTATGCATCGATTTCTCATTTTCCTCCTCCTCCTTTTCCTCACTCCTTTTTTCTTTCCTGGGGCAACCATCCTGCTAGCCATTTCTTCTGTGAAGAAGGCATTCCATCTGTTGTTGGATGCGTCCCACTCTGGCAAGACACCTGAATTGATAAAACAAGCTGCCCCAGGATGCAGAGGGCTTCATTTCGGATCATAAGAAAGGTTATCTTTCTTCTACAATGGGGTCAATCTGGGTGGCGGGGGGGGTACCCAAACAAACCCACCTGTGCCAAGACTGCTCCTGCCTGTGAAAAGCGTGCTTGCATCCACTGGAAAGAAAAGGCTGGTGAGCCCCGCTGCGGGCTGTTTGTATGATTGTTTCTTTCCACAGCTGTGTTTTTTTGAACTGCTCTTCCTGTGTTCTGTTATAGAATAGTCTTACAGGAACCAATCATTAGCGCTAAAATACCTCAGGTAGGAGTGCCAGTGTGACCTGCCAACCAATCAGATTGTGGATTGCAGTGGAAAAAAACTGAATTATACTAACCATTCCAGCACCACATTAGAGATGGGAACAGAGGCTTTTTTAGAGCAGCGCAGACTCACGTGTGAGCCAAGCCCCCGCTGCAGCAGGGTGGCGTGTGTCCAGATTTCATACCAAGTGGTATTTCACTCAAAAAAAAACCCAACCAAAAACCAATGAAAAACTAAAAATCAACAAAACTTTAATTCAGTGGAAAAGTTAACAAGGTCATGCTTGTCCCATTACCATGTAGAAGCACCTGCTGCAATGGACACTGTTGTCCTGTCACCTCTTCTAATTCATTCATGCTCATTCCTGGTGCACGTATGCCACCCTCCTAATACAGAAATACCAGAAGCGGTTCTAGCCCTTTCTGCTTCTTCTGTCGTATGGAAGTATGGGGGTGGAGAAGACATCTGAGAGATGGCAAATAAAAGACCCTAAAATTGGGCTCGCTGCCTAAACCTGGCAAGGAGTAAATGTACCTAACTGGTACCAAGAGTTCCATATTTCTCTGGGGTTATGGACACACTTGTGTCCTAGGGGCAGAAAGGCTCTTTGGAGTAAAGAGGGCAGTGACATACTTTGTGTGCCCTTCTAAGGCAGGAAGGGAAAAAGAAAAGGGACATTTATACCACACTTGCATAGTAAGCTCTAGTTTTGGATTTCTTCTTGCTCACATTGGATTGATCACCTGATATGGACTTAAAGAGTGGTGGAGAAGATGTACTTGAGCTGAACTGCATAAAATGCTAATTTGTTTTCATTAACATACTCAGTAATTGGAATGCTGCTTTAGTTGGGATTGCAGCTTCCCATAGATGTTGTTTTCCCATGTTTGTCTTGTTTCAGAAAATATAAGACAATACTGAAAAAGCTGCCATCTAATGTTAAAGAAGGAATTTAAAGTAAAATACTGCTTTGTTGATGAGCCAAGGACAGTAACATCACAGAAGAGTAATTTTAAATTGAGCTTTTGTTCATACCTAACAAATACAGCTGTTGGACAGCTCAGGTCTGTAGGCAGAAACACTTCGTGGGGAAAGGGATCCAGCATAGCCCCAGCAAGACTGGAATGCCAGATAGACAAAAAGAAGTTGAATCAGGATAAGCAACATATATGCTGGTGTTCATTTCTCTCACATGGTCCCCAGACAATCCAAAAGCCTGTACCAAAATGGGCTAATCTTAATTTGCACAGTCCTTTTGGTTGTTTCTAATGCCCATTGACAATGCACAAGCCTTCTTGCTAGTTCCCATTCCCTCATGGAGGCAGTAATTAAAGTGTCCCATTGATAGAAACGTCTCAGACATAACGTCTGCACAAGAAGCTCAGCCACGCTTACTTCCTTTGAGATGAGACTGAAGGTTTTTAAAAACAGAATCTGTATGGGTAACCTGTTCCTGTGGAATCAAATAGGTGGAGTGGGAGTTGCATGGCTGTCCTGAGTTTCAGGCACTATGCCACTCATTGGTTTCTTCTGTTGCAGTTTGGCTGTGGCACTGAAGGAATGTGTTGAAGCTGGCAAGGGCCTTTTTTTCTTTCTTTCTTTTTTTTCTTTTTTTTTTTCCTTTTTTTTTTTAATAATTCTTTCTTTCATTTGGAAACACATTTTTCCCTCTTTGTTGCTGTAGTTGCAGATGCTCTATGCTGTTATATTTTTTATTTACTGGAGTACCTGAAGTGGGTGGCACCAGAAATCACTAGGGGTCCTAGGACCTTTCAGATGAGCTCTGCATATCAGGTACAAGTTTTGTGTGAAAAGGAATAGCAGGAGAGAATATCTGGTGCATTGGACAAGCTGAACAGGCTTTAGATGCATTTATTGAATTATATAGGTGGATCCTGGGTTGTGGAGAACAGGAGCATCAGCTGGGTAAGGCAACCTGTACAGTGCCTGCTCTGTACGGTCCCAGAGCTTGGTGAAAGGATTTATGTAAAAACAAATTATAGTTGCAACAGTTCTTCCTCTTTCCTTCACCCTATTTTGGTGTATTTGGACCTGCTGGTCATGCTAAATACATCCCTTCTCAGAAATCTCCCAGCTGTCCACACTCATTGCTCCAATGACAGGAATGCACCATGGCCATTATGATCCCCATTTTTGGTTTTATTTGAAGTACACATAAGTAGACTTTGCAGATTGCTTTGAAGTGAGCAGGTCTGCCTGTATGTGTGTACCTCTATCCGGAGATTTTTTTTCCTTTTTTAAATAACCAGTAGCTTCAATTTTGCATCAGTGCATGGTTAAAAAGCAATACACGTCAGCTATTTCTTAACTTCATTTCTCCAATGAATTATTTCTCCTGTTTTTTTGTTTTGTTTTTTTGTTTGTTGTGCAGTTGACTGAAGAAATGTTAACATCCCGCTCTAAATCTCTCAGTGGAGTCTCTGTTCCCTTCTCTGATATAACAGATGGGTTATTGCTTGTTATAATTATTAACATTGTGGTGTGGGACAGGGCTGGGGTGGGAGCCATTCTGGGGGGCTCGGGGGGGCTCTGGGAGTCCTTGAGGTTGGAATGTTAACTCCAGTGGTGACTGACTGTTTCCGTAATAGCAGGTTGTTGTGGCTGCACGCTCTAGTACTTGAGGCTGTGTACTTCACTGAGCTTGTGGTAGAGCCTAGGGCGAACTGCTGTCCCAAGAGAATGCTGGGATGGATAGAACTAGCCAATATGAGTCTGAACGTGGTGACTTTGCTGGTTGTTCTAGCTCCAGATGTCAGCATGCTTAGTTTTTAATTTTGATTAATAAATGTTACTCTGTTCCCCCTCCCACACCTGATTCCAACCCTTCTTTCTTCTTCTTTTTTTTTTTTTTTTGTTTCTTTTTTTTTTTGGTTTGGTTTGTTTTCGTTCTGTTTTGTTTTCCTTTATGAGAGACATGAGTTAAAAGACAATTACATGATAAGCCTTTTTGGTTTCAAACTGCATCTTGCTGTCATGTTCAGAGTATGTGCCAGGCACATTTGAAGCAGCTTCTGGTCTGAAATGTGACTGGCAAGTGAGGAAGTGTGGGGCAGATTGGGAATCAAGGGTGCCTGCTAAGGGCAGCTGCCCTGTGGAGGGTAGTGCCTGGAGAAAATGCCTCCTACACTGTGCCCAAGTGACACCCCAAGGGTTCAGGAGGCATATAGCCTAAGGGGAATACTGCAATGGCATTGATACAAAGTTTTGTCTTAATTTGGTGATGCTAATGAAGGTTGGATTTGGATTAAGGCTGCACCTCATTCCCCTGGCCTCTGTCATGTTTTACATGGTGGTAAAATGATAGCATGGCAAAACCAAGCTAAACATCCCCAGCCATCAGCCCACAATGCAGGATTTGAAATAGCCAGGTGAGATTAAAAGGGCTAAACTGTAATATGGCATCTTTTCCAGGCCATGTGGTGATGGTTCACAGGTGTTGCTTTTTACATCTGTGTTGCTTTTTCTCCTGTTAACTAAAAGATTGAAGAGGCTGCAACTCCCTTTTCTCTGGAGTAGGAAAGGATCTGCAAACATGTTTTGGATAGCACATCAGGCTTCACAGGGCTAATGCAGGCCACATGAAAGAAACCAATATTAATTTAAAATCACTACTTCTAATTTAAAAGCTACCCAGGTTCAGATTGAGCAAAGACACAGTTCTGTAGTGGAGCTGATCTTGTACCCTTAGTTAGTTACATGTATGCAAAAGATATATAGGGAAGAAGTGGTAGAGGTATGTTGAGCTTATTCTGGAGGTGAAGAGCATAACTCTGCCTTCTGGTCCTTCAAACCCTGAAATGTCAATTGGAAGAAAAAAAAAAAATAAAAGCCAAAAGCAATCTGGAATTTTCTGATGTTTTTTATGGCTCATTGTGTTTCTAGAAAGTCAAAACTATGGTTCATTTACCAGGCCTTCATCCCAGGTTAAAAAAAGTGTTCAGAAATACAATAAAGATCCAACCAGGGCTTCAGAGCCCTATTTGCTGCCTACTATGCCACCTTTGTCCCTGATCTGAAAGGTGCCTGGCCTTGGTCTTCCAGTACTGCAGGCCTTACTCTCCCCCAAGAGCTCCTTGTGGGATTTTGAGGAGGAGACTCACGGGTCTTCTCTGAGTCAGAATTCACATTTTGACAACACAGCTGTAAAGTACATTTTTAGTAACTACCTCTGATCACCTTTGCTACAGGTGTGTAGCATGGGCAGAAATACAGCAGCAGAACAGGCTGTTCTGGCATAATTCTCTTGACCTGTTTCTTTGTTATATGGAGAGGAGGGGAGAGCAGTCTGGCTGGCCTCAATATTGGTTTGCTTGTTGACAGCCTTGAAACCAACGAGACTCTTCTCTGACCACCTTTTCCTGATTACTTTTCACCTTCTCTGACTACTGCTACTTTTGCACATGTGGATCCAATTAAATTCTAGCCCTTTGGGTTTTCCTGGCTGTAAAAGAGAGAGGGTAAAAAAAAAAAAAAAGTAGGAATTTCTCTGAATGGTTCCCTTTCTAAAATACTTCATAGAAAGTGTCCACTTCTGATTTCCTCTCCTTAAGAGGAAGGGGTCATAAAAATTACCTTGCATGCAAGATTCCGGGTCTTTCCTAGTTTCCATTTCCTCCATGCCAAATTGCATTTTCTCTAGGGTTGTAACAATGCTCAGTCTTCCTTTAGTGTATTCCTTTTGCTAAAGAAGATAATGGAAGGGCCTCCCTGGTCCCTCTAAGGAAAGGAATATACATGAGTTAATGGGTGATGCTTGTGATAGACATGACATGGGAGCTGATGCAGTTTGAAACACTTCCTTTCCTTGTGACGTGTGTGCCTTTTTTTAAATATTTTTTTTAATGCTCTCTCTGGGTGGACAGGTATCTGTAAAGTCAGTTCTCTTCTCTCCTGCAGGGTGGATATGCAGCCTACAGATATGCACAGCCTGCTACTGCAACAGCAGCCACGGCCGCTGCAGCCGCTGCAGCAGCTTACAGCGATGGGTATGTAAGGGAGAGGTGTCCATGGGGGCTAGCTTGCTGTGCTCAGGGATTCAAGGAGCATTGATCCATCACAGAACTTCTGCTTCTTTCCCCCATTTCTTTGTCTGACCTGCACTCGCATGTGCACACATGCATGCACCACTCAACACGGAAGACTTGAGTGCACGGTTTGTCTCTGCTCCTGGACAGTATTGCCCTCAGTGTATGTGAGCAGGCACAAATCCTGGCCTCCTCCCTATCCTTGTGATTCTCTGCAGGCAGTGTGGTTACAGCCTCAGTTGGAGATCTGGCTTTGGGCAGGCTACTAAATCACTGGGTGCATTTCTCTCCCCGTCGTGAAGTAAAAATGACTCAGCTTATGCAGTGCTCTAGGATGCTTTAGCATGCAGCTCTGAATAGATACAAAGGATTGTCTTGATCAGAGTGCTTGCCTTAAGATTTTTCATTGCCTGTGCAGTGAGGCCTTGTTTTAATCCTAGCACATTAAAGGTTATACTCCTCCCATAGTGGAGAATCCCTCAGTGCTTTCATTCAGCAGCTGTTACTGTGCCAGTAGCACTAGTGCCAGCAGTCCCTCTGCTCCCTCACTGCATCACGCAATTACCCAAAGGTAAGGGATGCACTAGCTGACCTTTCAAAGGTGCTGACTTCTTTCCTGCAGGTCAGGCTCATGGCCTGTGCCACATTCCTCCTGGCAGGCTGTTCTCTTGCCCATCTCATACAATGCATGGCAGCATGCTCATAGGATCTCTCTGCAGAGGAGCTGCCTGCGTTCTGGTGTGTGCATGGATGCATACATGTGTGTGCAAGGGCATGCTGCTGCTTCCATTACCTGTGGTCAGACAGCTATCACTCTGCCCCTCCCAAGTGACTTTTTTTTTCTTTTTATATCTTTTCTCCCTCTCTTCAGTTATGGCAGGGTGTACACAGCAGATCCTTACCATGCCCTTGCCCCTGCCGCTAGCTACGGAGTTGGCGCTGTGGTAAGTGGGATTTTCTTTCTTGTGCTGTTTCTCATTTCCAGCATGGGGAACAGCCACTGGGTATCATGCAATGAAACCTCACCCACCCAGAAAAACTTCTTTGTTGAGGGAGGAGGTCCTTAGCAGCAATTCCCAGTTGTTCCACATTCATGTCTATGTGTACACTTGTAAAGGAGCCGGGCTGTAGGAGACCAGTTATTATTTGATCTTGCACATCATCTAGTACCATGAAAAATAGGAATAGCAAACAGAACTGCCAGGAGCCAGAACACTGTTGGTGAATCAGTAGAACTGCATAGAGGTGATACATAGAGCAAAAATCAGCAATAGTTAGAGATTCAGGATACCTTTTTTTGCCATTTTCAGTTCTAGGAAAGCAAGGGAATAAGTTGTTCTTGTGACATCTTGCAAGTGAAGCAAAGCTGCTTCACTTGGTTCCCTCTTGCTCTAGTGGAAGTGTGCAGTGTCCTGCCTGCCAGCAGTAGTTATGCAAGGGCAGGATGAGGTATGCTGGCATCAGAGGGGAGTGGAGCAGCTTGCTGAAAACACATGCTTGCCCATCTGCTAGCCAGCGCAGTATCTGTGTTGTTGCAAAGGCTGGAATACAAATGTGCTCAGAGAAAAAGACACCTAAAAATAGATATCTGCAGTGTAGCAACTCCATTTCAGCCTCAGCTCATCATGTGGATTCTCTTTAGGGTCAATAAGGGAAAACCAGGTAGTTCTAGGATACCCAGTCATCATATCTATTTTAGACCTTTACCTTGAGGTGAGGTGAAGAGCATCGTAGAAGTCCTGGTCTCCGCAGTCTCTAAAGGCAGCCTGGACAACTGGCTTGAGATTAGGACTGGTGAGTCCCCACTCTGGTACTGAATTCCCTTCCAGCAAGACTTGCCAAACTTCACCTCCAGCTGGCTGGCCATGAGCATGCCCTCCTGAGCCACATCTTTGGTTTTGCAGGCAGATTTCTTTCTTGCTTCTTAGAGGTGCTCATGGTGGTGGGTCAGTGCCAGGACAGGTCCTTCCAGAAGCATTTGGGTGCTGTCCTGGATATCTCTTCACAGTTCTCCTCCTAACAACCTTTTCTTCTCCCATTTCATTTCTACAGGCGAGTTTATACCGAGGTGGCTACAGCCGATTTGCCCCCTACTGAAGTGACGTGAGCCCCCTGCTAGCGGGACAGCCCCCCCAGTTCATGAGGCCTGGCTATTGCAATATTTACTAGTAGAGGAACTCTATAGCAAGTCGAGGAGGAAAAACAAAAAAAAAAACAAAAGAGAAAATACTTTTTTATACCTCACTATGTTCTTCAAATATGTATTTTTTTTCCTTTAAATTTCTGCCTTTAATTCTTTTGTTCCAAAGATTGTGCTCTTTTTTTTTGTTTGTTTGTTTTTTGTTTTTATTTTTGGGATTTTTTTAACTGTGGTAAAAATAATGCATTTCCGTGTCTGTATGTTGGTGCATAGCTTATCCTACCAATCACGGAAAAGGCGATTAGCGATAAGGAAAGCTGTTAGAAGCTGATATCATGCAATTAATCAGGAACACGCAGCCAGAGTTACTTCCCTGGGTCTGGTGCTTGGTGCCTGTGAGACAGGAGGACGTGAGGGAGAAGTCTCCACCTGCCGTGTTTCTGGTCTGCAGAAGGAAGCACTCTTTGGCTGTGGCTGGGACCTGAATGCTGGTGGGAAATAGTGATTTACATTTGGAAATGGGGGAAATGCAGAGACTTTCTTTGTTTCTATCACCATCTGACGCTCACAGGTTTGTGACAGTTACAGCAGTGTCAGAACTTTAGACTTCGCAAGAGAAGAGTCCCTCAACCTGCCCAAAGACTTCAGCTGTTACCTGCTCTATAGGGGACAAGACTTTGAAAGGAGTTTTTGATAAGGATGATCTTTTCCCTACACACAGAACTTTTACTCACTGATTTTTGTCTGCTGCAGGTGGCTGTAATTGTCATAGTTTTCATTCCTCCTTTTGAAGATCTTTCTCTCTTGCTGTCCCTTTCCACCCCTTCATCCCTCGAGGAGTGGCAGATGCAGTGCAGGATCATGCAGAGTACCTCTGTTGTGGACAGCAAGTGATTAAACGTGGGGAGGTGAAGCACCTACAAGCTTGCAGAAGAAGAAAGCGAGCAGAAGAGTCGAGCGTGGCACATGCTCTGAGGCCCAGCCTGCAGGGGCTCTGCTGCTGCTCATCCTGGGCTGCTTAGGTGCTTCTGCAAGTAATCTATTTCAAATAACGTGAGTGAGGATAAACCAGGCACGCATAAGCTGCTCGAGGTGAAGGACAAGCTTGTGGGTTTGTGTGGGGGAGGAGGATCTTTTGTATCTAAATGTGATCCTGAAGTAGTTTTGTATCGCAGAAGCAGTTCATGCAAGCTCTGAATTCATAGGAACTTCTTACCACAAGCTATTTCAGGCCCTTCCATAGCTGCATTGGAGCCCCGGGTTTGTTTGCCCAGCTTCTCACAAAAAGTTGTGCACCTGGTCTGCTGAGTCCGTATAGACACTACATATTAGAAGACTTGGAAGGATAGAAACTATTTAGCTGAGAGGTCCACGCCTCCCAAGACCATCTCCCTTCTGCTCTCACAGACAGAGAATTCGCTGTGTTTCAAAGACAGCACACTTAGATGACTGTGAGCTGTGATGTGATGTGGAGTTGCTGCTCTCCAGATCTCCCTGTTCAGCTGCTGGCTCATAGAGTGCTCCCAGTAAACCCAGTGGTCAGAGGCAGGCTCTAATTGCATGCTGGAGAGATGCAGAAGTGTGATTGTACCGGGCTGCCTCGACTCCATGCATTGGTGCTGGGGTGAGCCCTGCCCTCAGAAGGGCAGCTCAGAGTATGGATTTGTTGGCGGAGCCTCTCCAGCTCCTGTCGAACACCTGCTTTTCCATCCACCACTGATACAGAATAGGAAAATTCCTGCATTTAACACTAAGCAACATCAGCAAGCAGAGGTCTCGCTCCTGGGGGAGTGTCCTGGTCCAGCCACACATTTTTTTGCTCTTCTCCAGTGATACATGGAGCCTCTCTGTGCACAGCAGAATGGAGGCATCTCAAATGGGAAGAATGGGGACACCATTAGTTAAGCTAGAGACCCTGAAGCTATTGATTTTTCTGGAGGAATTGCTAGATAAAGGGGACACCAAACTGCCAGCCTGTTGGCCACCTTTTTTTTTCCTGGTTTTATTGTTGGTTTTTTACTTTTTTTTTTCCCAAGCCAAAGTTTGGTTTGTTACTGTTATGACAATTTTTTTGTTGTTTGTATATAAATACTTTAGCTTGAAAATAGGGAGGGGGAGAACAGGGTGTTGGGGCTTTCACAAAATCTAGGAAATGAGGGACACTCGGCATGTTTGGGGGTCTTTACTGCCTGAGTTGGGGTAGAAGAGGGAGGACTTGTGGTAGAGATAGTCATATTCAAGGGGAGTTATTTCCACTGCAGAGCAGCCAGGAGACTTGTGGAGCTGGGATGCAGCAAAAGCCTCTACTGGACTTGTTCTCCCCACTGTGGGTGGAGGGCCTGAGCGAGGCCATCCCTTCCCTTGCTGCAGGCAGTTCCTCAGGCTGTGAGCCCAGGAGCCTCTGCAGAGCCCCCTGGGGCAGCTGCTCCCCCCCTGCCCCTCTCCCACATTCAGTTCAGCTGGTTCTGACTGCGGCTCCCCAAAAGCCAGGTTCTCCCACCCTGAGTGCCCTCCCCTGCCCTGGCAGTGCCACCTGCAATGCCCCCCTGCCACTCGGCCTCCCTGGGAATGGGGAGGCCGGCCCCATTTCTGCCTCCTGGCAGAGTCTATGCATGGCAGCTTCAGCCCGCCCAAGGATATGAGGAATGTGAGGGGTTTAGTGCAGAAGCACCCAAACTTTGGGGGGCTGTGCTCCCCCGATCTCCGAGTAATATGTGTTCTAAGACCTTCCAGCCTGATTCCTCCTGTATCCCAGCTTGGCCTGCTCTGGTCCCTCCCTGCCGGGCTTCTCTGGTACATTAAGCAGCCGGGGTCTCTGTGGCTCCGTAGTTAATGCTGCAGGATCCCCTGAGGGGGCTTGCTGATGGCCTGGCTCCCTGCTCCCAGCACTGAGCTGCAGAGGGGACACCGGGACACTTGCATGGCTGGGGGCCAGAGGTAGCTCACTGGTTCCAGGTGTCCAAAGCACCAGACCTCCCAAAAACTTGCATGGCAAGGTTTCTTGAGTGAGTGTTGTGTGTGACAGGAGAGCTCTTCAGCCTTTCTTCTCTGCTGGTGAACAACAGCTCCAGTTTCACTCTGATGTTTTGTGAACTGGCTAGAGATGCTTTCAGAGTAGCCAAGGTGTGGCTATATCCAGCTTTCTGAAGAAGTGAGGACAAAGCCTATATCTCCCTATGCAAAATTAATTACGTTTAATAAATTGAACTGGGCCCTGGCTTATTAGAATGATGGCAGCTAGTGCTTGTCCGTGCGATGGGTCTGCAGTCACAGGTCCCTTGCAAAGCAGGGTTTGACTTTCTGAGGGAAACTGCACAGGCAGCCTGGCAAATAGCTTGCTGTTTGTCACCTTCTAGTCTGGTGGCATCTGGGATTCCTCTTGATGCAGAGAAAAAAATGTATCTTTAACTCTAGCTGCTTGTGCTGTCTTGCAATAGGTCCAGCCAGCACATGATGATACCCAGATGAAGTTTTGGTTTGAAGAGTTGGTTTATTTAATGTGCTGGTCTGTATTTCCTTGCAGTTACGGTTGTGCTGGTATAAAGTAACTACTACTGGTATAGCATATTCTCTGCTGGGAATAAGTTATATTGATGCCCAGCACGTTGGCAAACTGTTCTCCTGTCCCCGTGTGTGGGAGGCTGCACTGTTGTAGGTGAGTTAGCTTTTCTAAGAAAAGCCATGACAGGACCTGGAGGCAATGGGGAGCTCGGTATGAGCCTACTGTAGCCAGCTTTTCCCAGGTTAAGCAGTTAGGTGGGTCCTGTGCCATGAGTTCAGATAGACAAAGCCATGTTTAAAGATAGCTATGGCTTGGCTGTTCCAGTGCCTGAGAGTAAGCAGATTTGCCCAGTGAGGAGCACTGGCTCTGGAGTCTGAGACCTGTGTTTCAGACAGGGCTCTGTCAGTGACCCCTCAAGGGTCCCTGTGGGGCAGTCATGTTGCTACTTTAGACTTTGCTTCCCTGTCCCTAAAGTGAAGTTGAAGTTTATCCCTGTTCTTACCTGTTACTGAGATCCATGGATGTGAGGTGTACAGCGAGAGCTGAGGAGGGATTTCTGAGTAGCTGGCTTGAGTGCTGGTTGTGGGACGGTTAATGAAGCCATTTCCCTGTCTGAAGAGAGACACTGGCTGCTGGGCTTTCAATCCCAGCACCCAGAGCTCTCTCAGTGGGGAATACAAAGCAGAGCCTCCCAGTTCTACCCATGTTTTTCCCCAGCCCATCCCTATCTGTATCTTCCCATCCTAGCCACAAAGATGGAGGCAAGTGGAAAACAGGTTTGGGGAGCACTTAGGAATTTAATAAAGGGAAACCCAAACAACAGCTCTGGGGAGTGCTTTTGCTGAATCTAGCTCCAAAGGGAAAGCACACAGGCAGCCTGGCAGAGGACCTGCTGCCTGTGACCCTCCAGCCTGGCAGGGTGGGGGAATGCTGTCCTTGGTGTAGAGGGGTGATTTTTAAAGTGTTTTACCTGTTTGCACTGTTTTAAAATAGGAGGGTGGGGGGAGAACCAACCTAGTGAACAAGATGAACATCCAATGTAAACTTCTTTGTGTTTTTATTTTTGACATGCTCTTGGATAATGTCAAACATTTTGTAGTATACACCAGTGAGACTTGATTCTTTGTTGCATAAAACACTATTTTTGGTGATGTTAATGTCTGAAAAGCCTGTTCCCTGCATCCCCACTTTACTGATTGCCCTCTCCACCCTCCAACCCCAGTAAACTTCTCTTCTACAATGAAAACTCCAGTCAACAAGGCAAGCAGGAGTCTGATAGCCAGAGTGTGAAATGGGGCCCTTTGCAAGTAGGCTGTGGGGTTTGTGCCTGTCTGCTTTGCTCCAGCCAGGAGTTGTCAGGAGAGCCCCCGTCCCTCTGCAGTGCCTGCATCAGTGGCAGCCAAGCCCTGTGTCTGTTGCCGCTGCTGACCCTGGATGACAGCTTCTTGCTGGGGCTGCCAGTTCTGCCTGTGGCTGTCCTGTTGGGGCCGTGGGCTGCAGCTGGCCCAGGCTTGTGCAGGTGACCAGCTTCCCATGCTGCCTCTCAACTTGTGATAGAGCAGGAATGCATCAGCCAAAAACCTTGCCTGATTTCACCAGGAGATTGCTGGTGTCTAAAGCCGTCCATCAAGATATTCATTTGGCTGGCAGTCAGAGTCAGCAAAATGCCCATTAATCTTAGGAATGTTTTTTCTTTTTAAATTTTTGTTGATGCTCTGAAGTGAGTCAATAAATCTCTTGCCAGATTCCCAGTTCTCTGCTGGTGGAGAGGCTTGTTGCTTCCCTGAGGAGTAAATTCCTTACAGAAATCAGGCCTCCCACATTAGTAGTCTCAGTTCTGGTCATATTTTTCTATTTTTTTTCTGTTCACAGTATTTTGTGTGTGCGAGTGTTGTAGTTTTGGCAGCTCAATTTTGGCTGCATTATCAAGTGACAAAATCATCCTCTTTTACCCTAGGGGATATGACTTAGTTTTGTTTTATTTCCTTGGGTTTTCTTTTTTGTTTGTTTGTTTGGGGTTTTTGTTAGGCTTTGTTTGGTTTTTGGTTTGTTTGATTTTTTTTAATATGATAAATCCTGCTTGTAAATAGCTGGAGCTAAAACCTGGGGCTGATAGCAAATGAGAACCAGGGCTACAGAGTGATACAGAGCTGGTGGAGTATTTTACTGACCTCACAGGCTGATCTCTTTGAGACTTGGAGATTTTCAGTGCGAGGCTGAGATGCCCCAGCACCTCCAATGGCAGCAACAGACTTGCCCCTTGTCGCAGTCTCCCCAGCACCTCCCATTCCAGGTACCCCGGGGAGCAGGGCGCGTCCCGAGGGGATGCGTTCCCTTCCCCTGGATCATTTCCTAGGACGCCCGAGCCGCTTGCCCAGGGTCCCATTTCCCTGCTGACTCTGGAGAAGCAGTATCTGCATCCCAGGGCTTTGTGACAGCCTTTAACTTCCCGCCCTCCCTCGTTAAGTATCATATTGTATAGTAGCTTTCAGACCATACAGTATTCATTGGGTTATTCCTATTATTATCAAGTAGCTGGAATTGTGAAGGTTGGAGTAGTTAGATCTTTAGCTTTTATTCCTTTTTTTTGTATTACTATCCATGTGTATAAATTATTGATCATGTTGCTGGCTTTTATAAACTCTAAGCAAGGGGGGAAACCCTTCCTAACCCTTTGCAAATGGTAATGAAGCACTGTTTTTAAATAAAAGAGAGAAACACCAGTCTGCTGGCTCCCCTGTGTTGTTTGTTTTTCAGCACATCTGGATGGATTTCGCTGGTGCATTGCCCTGGCAGGTAAAATGCAAAGAAGGGAAGCTGTGTGAAGAACGAGCCGGGAGCTTGGATCTTCTTAGCAGTGATAAAGGCCTTGGCAACTCACGCTGGCAAAATCCCAGCCCCATCTGTTCCTATACTGACCTCAGAAAATCCACACATTTCCCTGCCATTCTTTCCCATTGCTTCTTATTAGCAGAGAAGGGCCAATTGTTCGGTGTTTGATAAGAAGCTTTTTTAATTTTTTTTTTTCTCTTCAAGCCTAGTTGGTGTTTGAGCCTGTTAATGTGGAAGGAGAGACAGCCATTTCAAATTACATATCTGCATCTCCTTTAGTGCCTGTGTGGCCAACCTTGCTCTGTCTGTGTTAGCACAGGTGTAATAGTTAACACACACCGCTGGAAGCTGGGGTTCCTCTGTCAGTGTAAATTTCCTCTGGGAGTTTGGACATGTCTTTTAATTACTGCCCCTGTTGTCCTGTCTGTCAAAAGAGCATTGCTGCAGACAAGCAGAAATTCATTCACATTC